CCAAATCGTATTAAATCGAAGTTAGATTGAAAGTCAAAAAGAACACAAAAGTCATCGATATCACTCAGGTTTGATCATGTTATTAGCTTTAAATACTAAAAATCTTTCAAGATTTAATTTTTTAAGAAGTTATATTAAGTCCCATACCAATTTTGTAATCTGTTTCTAAATTATTTAATTACATAATTGGGTTCAATATTATTAGTGAAAGAACAGCTTTTTAAAGGTGAAGGTGAGTAGTATGGAATTGTTTGGTTAGAAAAAAGTTTGCCAAAAAAACACATTAAATAATACTTTGATAACATGAAAGTAGTCGTCAACTATTCCCTGAAAGCAGTGATCACAGCTATAAAAACGAATCATTAACAAGAAAGGAATGAAAAGGAGAAAAAATATATTTTCTAGCATAATTTTATGTTTTCTAATAATAAATACCTCTAACACATTATGGTGTATATTAATTTTTAAAATCTACATACTGAAACGAGATCCCTATCTTTGAAGGAGTCACTCTTTAAGAGAACACTTTTCTAAGAACTCTGTTTTAAAAGCTGTTTTACTGTGAAGTGATGTTGTATGTGGAAAAATGTCTAATGGTACAGTGTGCTGTCAACATAGGTACATATGTAGTAATATTCCAGGCATTTTTATTGTAGTTTATTATTATGGCTTCACAATAAGCCAGATAAAAATCATGTACAAGAACTCAGGATTAAAGAAAGTGGTTTCCTTAGGTGATTGATGGCAAAAATTCACCTTCCTATTATAACATGGTAAATGCACGGTGATACATTTTGGCTACAACTTTCCTTCAAATTTATAGATTCCCAGTTTTCAAAACTGCTGCGTGTCTAGAGTTTGAGGCTTCTTTGGTTGGCTTTTCGTAGGAGGAGGTGCCACGGAGTAAGGTGAATTTGCTACGTATCTGTTCTGTAAATATTAAGCTCCATTTTTTGAACACACAGTGGTAGCAAAAATAAGTCAAAGATGTAATGTCTATTTAAATACATTTCATCTAGTCGTTAGTGCTTAAATTAGATTGCATGCTTCAGCTAGAATCAACAGTGTAAATAATAAAAAAACTTTCGAATTCATATGGCCCATCCCCCCACCGCCAGGATACAAGGTCGAAATGTGTGTGAAAACTTCTGCCCATTTAAATATTGTAGGAAAGACACAAGCTTTTAAGCAAGGACTTAAAAAAATACTTGCCATTAAACCTTTTATGCAGGACATTCCAAATTTGCTTTGCTAAATGGATATATTCACTGCTTAAAGATACAAAAAGGCCAGATCTGTTTTTAAATTTGTTTATCACTCTGCCCCTAGTTTTCCGCTAAAGAAAAGAACATTTCATATATTTAAAAATACACACTCATTAAACAAATCTCTCCAAACTCTTAGCGCCCCCACCTAGCTGCCTTCTGGGTTTCAGCTTTTGAGTTTCAGGTCCTTGCACAACACCTAAGACGTCCAGAACTCTCTCCTTAATCCTGGCAGAGAACAGTCCGAAGAGATTTCCCTCCACGTCTCCACCCGAATTCCCTCTCTTCTCCAGATTCCACCCGCTTCTCTCTTTCCCTCCGCCCCCGGCCCCGCCAGCCCAATCTGTCAGAGAACTTGTGTACAAACTGCGCGGCCGCCCTGCGCGCGAAGCTCGTGGCCCGAGAGGGGTGCGGTCCGCCCGACGGAGGCGGGGCCCTGGGCGAGTTTCTTCCTTCTCATAGGCTTAGCCGCTCCGGCCCGGCCGGCCTCGGGGCCTCGGGATTCGCCGGAGCGCTGCCAGTCTGGCTGGCGGGCCCCGCCCACTCGGAGTTGGGTAAAATAGAGGCGGGCGTCAAGTGTCAGTAGTCGTGGGGCAGGTACGCGCGCTCGCAGCCAGCTCGCGGAGACGGGCAGTGGCGGGAGCGGGCTCCGGGGAGCAAGGGAGCGCGGCGGGGCGGGGCGGGAGAAAGTGGCCTCCCGGAGGACGTCGGCGTTTACGCGTGGCGGAGCGGAAGAGTTTGGCTTTTCGTGCGCGCCTTCGAAAACCGCGTCTGCGGTTGGCTGAGGGGTCTGCCCGGAGCCTCCCCTT